ATGTTTGTGTCTGGCAGGCTGTAAGCATTGTTATTTTTAATCAGGGAAGTAGTCAGACTATTCTCAAAATACCTCATCTGGAGCGGCGTCTCAAAGCCGTAGGGCGCGCCTGTAATTTGGGTCTGGAAGATCAGCTGGAGACATGACTAAGAACACAGGCTGCCCAAAATAACTGAAGCCATTCGAGTGAGCTTGTTATGCAAAAAATGCCTTGACACTTTAATTCAAGAAAGTCAGTGAAGCTGGTTGAGCGAGTCTATGAGGGGCTGCGTTTGTCTTTATCGGCTCCCTCGGTGGGGGTGATCAAGGGAAGCGCCGTTATCTGCCACCGGCCTTTGACGCGTTAGCACGCCTCTCAGAAAACATGCATGTGGGAACAAAGCTCTTCAGTTGCGCATTCATCTTAGGTTGCTTATGATGACGCAGTCAGTTTGAGCTATTGACATGTTGTGGACAATGTGATAAAAATGATAAATGAGTGGCATCAATTGTGGCTCTTAATGGCTCTCATTCAGATAAAGAGGAGGTTGAAGTGAATACATGAATGAATTCAAGAATTGTAGATCTATTTAACAGCCCTTAATTAGCATAAACATATTTTTCTCTACATTATCTGTGGGCCAACAGGGAATTGCGTTGATGGTGTTTCTGTGTGCGATTATCACCTGTCATACCTCTTGTTATTATTGCTGTTCCTGTTGGACTTGCGATGTGGCATGAAGTAAAAGTCCTCTCTAATTTCTGCCTTTGTTTTCACGTCCACCAATAAAGAAGCAGCAGTGTGTGTGCATGTGTACTGCAGAACTGCAGCTTCATGATGTTTTACTGCCATCTGTTGCCAGTGCTTTATACATGTTTTGTAGTCGGACCAATAGTGGCCCCGCGGTGCTGGCCGTCTCCCAGCATTCATTCTAGTGAACTGTGACATGAACTGCAATTATATTCAGCTTTTAGATTTCATAGTTGTGTGTGTGTGTGTGTGTGTGATGTCATGATGTTGCATCAGGTCTGAGCACATTTGCACAGAATCCCCTCCACAAACCCTCTGAGCAGTAAAATATATTTTACCAGTAAAATATAAATCTATGATATAAAGGAACCACATCTTTTTAAAATAAGGCTTTTTAGCAGGATATATGGATGGTGGAATGCCTAGCAACCCATAACAGCAAACAAATGGCAATATGACTAAAACCACCTTAGCAACTGCATGTCAACAACATGGCAACCATGAACAACAGCCTAGCATTGTGATGGCAAGTTCACGCACATTTTCTTAAGACATTAGATCATTGCACTCAACTCTTTGTCATGTAACAGAATAACTAAATTATGAACAAAAAGAAAAGAGGGTTTTGGGCAGTTATACAATTTTGATAAGGCATATTTTTATGCCTGACACGTGGCTGGTGTCAGGCAGGGTGACACATGTTGAATTATGCTGTAGACTTCCTCTCAGTTTTGACTGCCTTGGTCACATTATTTTTTATGAATTATAATGAATCAGTTCAGGAATCATTCATGTTTTTAAAAAGAGAATAGAATTAAATAGATTAAATAGAATCAGGAAATTTGGATGGAACATATCAGAATAATTGATTTGCTACTTGTTATTGCTAATCACTGTGGGTATGCAGTCATTTTTTGGGCTGATAATAAATATATATATATATATATATATATATATATTAATTAGGTCTGGGCGGTATATCGAGTTTCTACAATATATGGATATTTTCTGCTGCGGAGAAAGTGCATAATCCAGTTTGTTCTAAACATGTGAACAAGCTTCATATTAAGGCCTTTAAAACTGGTAAGACATAGTTTATAGTTTCGTTTCGTATATTAGTTTAAGCGGCTCGGCCCGTCATGCTCTGACAGAAAGGCTGCATGTGCCGCTGACAGAGACAGGCTACTCGCGCTGTTTAATGTTTTTGAGATGTGCTGTCTTCCTGAATGCATAACTTACATTTCACAGGTATATTCTCCAACTGTAAATGTTAGAAAGCCATGGAAATATTTCCATTTTTCTGTCAGAAGTGCATGAGCCTTCTGCTTTGCGATTCTCCGCTAAACTTCACAGACGAGCGCGCCAAACAGACAGATCTCAATTAAATAGGAGCGCAATAATTCTGACTAAAATATACATTTCGCTGAAATATTTGTAGTTGGACAATAAATGTGACATGTAGAATTTTAAACCTACAAGTAAAGGCCAGCCAGGACAGTAGAGAGATCCCAGGAGGGCACCAGGGGTGGCCTAGGAGGATTCAACCTTCTGGCACCCCTCAGGAACCTGACGATGAGATCGTGCTTTCCCAAGGACCGCCCGTCCACTGCATCGTGATGTGCTGCGATAGCAGCCACATACACTTTCAAGATGGAGGGTGACAGCCTACACGCCAACCTTTCTTGCAGGAAAGAAAGCACTATGAGGACCATGAGTTCCGAAAACCAGGTCCGGGTGGGCCAGTAAGGCGCAACCAGCAAGAGCGGGCGAGCTGTGACATGCGATGTGATCGTAGACCACCCTGCCGGTTGATGTACGAGACCGCCGCATTCGCTGCGGGAGGAGTGAGAGGTCCGCGGGGATGTGCCCGGCGGAGAAGCTCTCACTGTGACCCTCAGATCTCCTAGAGCTCTAACCGGTGGTCCCCTGCTCGTGACAGGGAAACCGGGACGGGTAGAGACAGAGGGTGCTGTTCCGTTCCCCATGAGGAGAGAGGTGAGATCGCAGCGAAGCCATGCTCATACGCTCGCAATGAACGCATGAGACATCCACGAACGAAGATTCAGCGTGTTGGATGCCCAGACACTGAAGGCAACGCTCGTGGCCATCAACAGAGGACCGGTAACGACCGCAACCAAGAGAACACGGACAGAACTGCATCTTTAAAAAGACGCGAGCCGTCCGTGATGAGAAACTGCTGTTTTAGTTGAAGCACCCAGGGGAATCGCTGAATCAACAGCTGTTTGTGCCGTCACGCCAACCAGGAACAGCTTCTTTCTTCCAGTGTGAACGAAAAGGCTTTGTGGAGAAGAAATCATTCACCCACTCGGCTCCGAAGCAAAAATCTGATGCACCTGTCACCTATTTATACCCGTATGCACGGGGAGTGGCTCAGGTATGCAAAATCCACTAGCCAAAACACAACAAGTTTCCTACAATGATGATACTAAGAAATGTTTCTTAAACACCAAATCAGCAATTTAAAATGATTTCTGAAGGATCGTGTGATACTGAAGACTGGAGAAATGGCTGTTGAAAATTCAACTTTGTCATGACAGAAATAAATTACATTTTAAAATATATCAGAATAGAAAAGAGTTATTTAAAATTGTAAAACTGTATTTACTTATTTTTATTTATTAAACTTTATTTACTGTATTTAATAATTACTGTATTTCTGATCAAATAAATGCGGTCTTGGTGAGCATAAAACACTTCCACAAACATTTAAAAAATCTTACGAACCCCAAACGAGGTGTATATACTTTGTGCTTTTTAAGAAATAAAAGTCAACAGATAATGATATCTGACTGAGACTCCCGCACAACTGAATTGTGCCCTTTCTCTCTCTGTAAATAACCAGTGTGCTGATTCTGTTCCCTCAGGACTGTATCCATGTGTCCACAAGAGCTCATCAGAAGGAATGACACCAGCGCCCAGTTAGATCATCACAGTCATGCTCAGACACAGCACAAACACTGGAGCGCTGCACTAGATGTTCCTTTACATTTCTTTAACATGCGCCTTGAGAAATATTAGCTGTCTTTGCCATTTGGTAGCATGTAGCCATTTAAGATTGTGTCTTCTGCCACACTTTATAAAGTTACATTTAAATCCTTTTTATCATCATGTTTGTACTGTCCAGCATAAACGTAATGTGAGTGTTTTTGGATTCTGTTTTTTTTACTCTCTCTTTGTTGCCTGTGGTTCATTTGATTTAATGCTCTAAAGGGACAAACCCCTGTAGATCTCAGTGGGTGGCATTTAAATGTGTCTGGAGAAGAAAACAGTTGCATGAGCTGGGAAGGAGCTTGGTTTTAAACACAATTGCCCACAATACTGCTTGATAATAGCATGCCATTTATTTGTTAAACAGGTGTTATTTTAGTATTGTTGAAAAAGGAATGCAGTTGTTATTAATATCTTGAATTAGTTTTTATTTTTATATTTTGTTTTCATTTTAATTGTAGTTATTTTTGAAAGTGTGTGTTTTTTACATGCCTATAGTTTTTTCATATTTTATTTCAGTTTATTTTATTTCAAGTAAAGATTGGTTTTAGTTTCAGTTTTAGTTAACTATAATTAACTGTAATAACACTTTACTTTTTCAAAATGCTTTTGTGTTAAAATAGTCAATTGTTACTGCATTCTCCTGTATTTACTGCCAACGCTGAAATCATCATATCATATAGGACACATTAAACCTGATGAGAAGTCTCTATAAATGCAAACAGCTGTCCAATGCACCTAAAGCGATTATCGAGCCATGATTAAAATAATTAGTACCTCATAACATCACGCTACTTGTACTAATATCAGAATATTAAAGTCGTTGCAGGAGCCTCCGCGAACAATCGAATCAGCTCATGTCCTTATGTTCAGGATTCATCAGCAATACTGGTTCAGCGGCGGGCTGTCAGTCATGTTGAATTTCCTTCTTGTGGTCCCAATCGGGCATTAATTTGTCAATCTGTATGCAGAGCGACTCTCATAACTTCCCCAGTGTTGTAATTAGTGCTACCTGAAGTTGTAGGGCTTTGATTGCCTTCAGGGAGGTGTCCTGCAAGGCTGTTTCAAATTAGCATGAGGGCAGTCGCCCTGATTGCTCGCATCTGGTCATTAACGGAGAGGGGATTTTTCTCCCCTCCTTGCCCTGAACCCAACATGGGCTGAAATCAAAAGCTGGTGCTCGAATAAGCAAGTCTCAAGTTTTTCAAGTGCCTGAAAGAGCTGATTGGACAGCGAGGAAATCCATGACTTTAGCATATGGATGACTGTTGGATCATGTCAGGATATAGGCGAAGCCACAGTTGAAAGCTTCGTGGGGAAGATTGCTGAAACATTCAGCAGCTTTTACTGTTGCATTAGGTTCGTGAAATGGATTGTTTTTCAGCAGGGAGGAGTTGTCTTTTGACATTTTCGAGATGATTGAGCAAATATATTGCTGGAGTAGCAGAATAGCAAAGGATGGAGACAGAACACAAGCTCGGAAGTCTTACTCTCTCATTCTTGATCTGTATTCCCTTCTCTCTGTCTCTCTCGCTTTTAGATATGCATTGCCATCTCGTGACAATGACCAGCTCTGTATCATTGAGATAGCTGTTGCTAATGGAACTGCTAATCGGCAGCAGAAATACATGAATGAGCCTGTGTCAGAGGTAAACCTGCTTCTGGATATTCAATCATTTGAATGACTAAGACATTCTGTATTTTATCTATGAATTGTCTGATTTATTTGAACCATTCTGTAACCATTTTTAACCCATTTTTTGATAAAGATTACAGTATAAATAGCACATTTTCATAGCACATATATCTCAAATTATTTTTTCACAAAAATACAAATTACACAATTAGATCATAGGTAAACCTGCTTCTGGATATTCAATCATTTGAATGACTAAGACAGTCTGTATTTTATCTATGAATTGTCTGATTTATTTGAACCATTCTGTAACCATTTTTAACCCATTTTTTGATAAAGATTACAGTATAAATAGCACATTTTCATAGCACATATATCTCAAATTATTTTTTCACAAAAATACAAATTACACAATTAGATCAATTAAAACAAAATGATAGAAATTTCAATAATGTATGTATAAAAGAAGGATTAAAAATTCTCACACACACTATTTTAACTAATGGAAAGGAAAAAATATATATATATATAAATATATATTTGCAGTCAGGTAGGTTATTATGCTATTGTTTTTGTAAAGAAGACAACTCAGTCTTTTTGAGAGCTGGTGTAATGATTTTTGTTGCAAAAATAATAAGTTTGATCATTCAAGTTAAATAGTTGGTTCATGTTTGTGTCCTAATTGATGAGAACCTTAGAGAGAGCTGTGCTGCAATAATCAGACACTTTCAGCAGCCTATAAGAGACTTAATCAGAATATAATGGCCCCACAAATCCATTTATAGAGCTGCATAAACAAAAAAAATCACTGGAGACTTTACTGAAAGGTGTTCTTTATTGAAATATGTCAAATGGACAAGAAGACAAAATTGCCCCGTCTGAAAGTTTAAAACAGATTGAAGGTTAGTTATATGTCTTATGATTATATAGGCCTTGTGTACTTTGAAAACCATTGCATATGTATAAATGCGCATGCCATGGGGTTGTGAATTGTTACTGGGCAGCTGCTAAAGTGTTTTGGGTAGTTGCTAGGGAAAGCAAGAAAAGGCTGAGGAAATAAGATACGTTTGTCCTAAGATTTTTCTTCTTTCGAAAGTTTTACAAAGTTTGTTGTCCAGCTAACATAATAGATGATTGAGAAGGCAAAAATATATCAGACAGACTCACTCATATGTTATTGTAAATTGGAAAGATGTTTAATCTTGTCTTGATCAAAACCAATAAACTGTATTTTTTCAAAAGAATAATTAGCTTTTGACCTAAATGAAGAATGATTGCTAAATGCATACAGCAGCAAAAGGTCCTTAAAGCTACTGTAGTGGCTCCACATAAATCCTTTCAAAGATAAAAACTTTGCTTTTATCTCTAATTATAATTTCCAGGCTTTAAGAGCCATTGACTTCAGAACAATTATTGCATGACATATCTTTACGTAGGAAAGAATAAAGTGTATCGTAACCTACAATATGTAGCTTTTTTCCAAAATCTAACACTTTACTATCCCAAAACATACACTACCAATCAAGTTTTGGGTCAGTTTTCTCTCTCTCTCTCTCTCTCTTCAGGAAGGATGCATTAAATGGATTGAAAAGTGAGTGTCACAATCTCCACAAAAATTTTAAGCAGCTCTACCATTTTCAATGATAATATTAATAAATGTTTCAAATCAGCATATTAGAATGATTTCTGAAAGATCATGTGACACTGAAGACTGGAATGATGGCTGCTAAAAATGTAGGAATAAATTACATTTAAAATATATTCAAGTAGAAATGTTATTTTAATTTTACAGTTTAAGCAGCTCTACCATTTTCAATAATGATAATATTAATAAATGTTTCAAATCAGCATATTAGAATGATTTCTGAAAGATCATGTGACACTGAAGACTGGAATGATGGCTGCTAAAAATGTAGGAATAAATTACATTTAAAATATATTCAAGTAGAAATGTTATTTTAATTTTACAATTACATTTTATAATATTAATTGTACTTTTCATTTAAAAAAGCAGCCTTGGTGAGAACAAAAGACTTTTTTGAAGTGCCGGATAATCCAACATGAATCTCTTTTTAACAAGATAAAATCGTCATTATTGTTAACCATATGTCACCTTTCCACCTCCCAACGCTCAGGTGGTGTTCGGCCCCACATTCCTTGGTGGCGTTCCATCCTTCTCTGAGCTGCACCACAACAGTGGGAATGTCTCTGGCTTCATCGGCTGCATACGTGAACTGCAGATGGGCTCCAAAGAGCTGTATGTGGTGGGGGAAGCAATCAGAGGCCAAAACATTCAGAACTGTGACGCTGCAGTCTGCCAGCACCAACCCTGCCACAATGGAGGAACCTGTATCAGGTATGATTTCATATCCTTTTGTTTTGGAGAAAGAACCGTCTCAAAGGCTACATTCTGCAAATAGTGTTTTCAGTGTGTAGATGAGAATAATTGGCTGTGTCTCGATAAAGGACTTGTTCATTCTTGTTGACACACTGGGCTGTAGACAACATGTGACCTGAGTTCCTTACTGTACGTGTAGCCGTCATGCTCATCAATCAGCTTTTTTTCACAAGCATCTCTCAAGTTTTCAATATTTGGCATACAAGCAATCTTCTACTAAATTTAGTGCTTTTGCCAGGGCACAGAGTTTGTAAATATTGTCAATGATATGCGGATGCTATGAAGATGCTCACTTGAGTTTTAAATAGCGGTAATTAGAGGCCTGATTGCAGGGACGCGAGTGATGTGTGAATGTGCTTTTTGTTAAACCACAGGCAGCGTTTTTGCGTGGCTTACAACCAATGGTTTATAATTACACATTATTATTTTTCTGTGTTAAAAGCATGGTTTGGGTGCAAATCTTTAGGCTCGTCACGAGTCATGATCCAATTCCAAATGATCCCTAATTAATCTCAAATCCGCAACTGGCAGATAATTTGTAAGTTAAGGTGGGTTGTTATCCCAATATATATATATATATATATACAGTGCACAGCATAAATGAGTACACCCCCTCTAAAACTTAACAAATTCAGCAATTACTCTTTACTTAGAAGGTCTTCACTTTAAGTTTTCATTTAGTGATGACTGAATTTTTGCTAGAAAAAGAGCAGGAGAAATAACATGCAAGTGTCTCAGAGCCGGCAAAAGCTGTGACAATAGAGTGACACTTTATCTCACAGAGTATGACGCAGCATGCAGAAGTGACATGCATGGTTGTTGTCACCACTAGAATTACCCACTGTAGCCAAAGCAAAATAAACTAATTTAACCTCTTCCAGGGCCCATATTTACAAAATAGAGACTTCTGGGAATCCATACTCTGGTCTCATGAGTCCAATTCAGTCATTTCGGATCTAACAGCATCCAAAATGTTCTGGTGTTGCTAGAGGAGGAGTACAGAGAGAAGTGCTTGGTACCCACAGTGACGTTCATAAAATGATCTAATCGCAAGCAGAGTAGCAAAATTGGGTTAAAGGGTTAGAATAGAAACTGTGCTTCAGTAATTTTGCGTTCTTCTTAATTGCGTTAAATTATTTTAACGCGTTAATGATTGTAAAATGAATCGCATGCGTTAACACGTTAACGATGACAGCCTCACACTTCGTGAAATTAAGCATAGACCATTTATCTTGTTTCAATGTTTCTTTTGTCATCATTTGCTATATCCAGCAAAGTAAACCAAAAGATTGAAGGGTGATTCTCAAATATCTATATTTTTTGCAAGCTTTTTTCAAGATCAATTTAGATGTCTTTCCAAAAAAGGACACTTAGAAACTCCAAAATGACACCAAAGAACCAAATGATATAAGGAGCCCATATAAGCACATATGAAAGAAAAAAAAATC